TTCAACTCCTACAATAAAATGCTTGCACGTGAATGAAGTCGAAGGCGTCTTATTACGCCTGGCGTGCAGCCGTTGCGCGGCTATTCGGTGTGGCCGATGGGTGTAGCGGCCTTGCAACGGTGCTTGGCGTTCGCGGAACAGACGCGGCTGGCAGAGAGGCCAGCTCTTCGAGGACCGAATCTCGCTTTTCGCGCCGGTCTGTGACCGGGCTCGGCTTTGCATGCTCAGCGTGGCATCTGGAAGACGTAGGTACAGAGCACAAGGTAGGAGGCGCGTAAACACCACTCCTGACGCACGTACTCAAGTATCGAGACGTCCAGGCACACCTCGATGAGAGCTGGCAGTGCCTAAAAGCCAAGTGGCAGCAGGTGGCCGTGCCACTTACGACAGACTCTCCCACGCCTCCACGGTGTTGCGTAGCGGTCTCGTCACGGCAATTTCACAGCCGGCAGTGTGTTACGAACACTATGATTATGCGCGAGACACAATCATCATACGCCACATGCTGTAGTCTGAGTGCCTCTCTCCAACAATGTGTGTATCCCGGTGAAAGCACGTTTGCCTGCCTTACCCGCTCCCTTTTTGCCCGGCCTCTTCTTCGGACGCAAAACTCGGCGCCACCTTTCCGAACCAGTACTAGCAAGTCTTCTCTGTCAAGTACTGCCTGCAGCCTGAAACGGCGTTTGCAGACGAAAGGGTGCACACATACACAAGCTATTAACGGGCATAAAACAGTCAATATACACACGCGACCGAGAGGCGCCCTCGAAGTCTGCCTCCAATCGTCTTTTCGCGCCCTTGCACAAAGAGAGCAGAACGTATATTGTCCAACGGTGTAGTGGGGCAGAGGACAAAAGCGAAACGCCTAGAAGCATACGCTGAGCGGAGGTCTGCCGGCGGCGGCAGCAGCACAGGTGCTTCCCGTGTGAGCTGCCCCCGCTATCTGCGATCCGTCGGCACAAAAGCCAAGTACATCTACGGCGGACACAAACTACCGGTCGGGATGCCACAACGTTCACGGGCGCAAGCGACACAGGGCGCCATCAGCTGCAGTCCAACGGAAACCCCCGGAACTCCAGCGCGCTGTGTGGCTGCTGACGCTGCGGATTAGCAAGCGCTGTTGTCGTTCAAGTCCAGGTCTGCTACCGCGAGCGTGAGTAGTAGCAGTACGTGGCGCTGTCTGCAAACGTTTTCCTGTCATTCTTGCAGTGGGGGCCGAGGGAAACCCGAGGCTGCACCCAGTAGAGCGTTACTACGGCAGCTGCGGCAACGGCGCGCCCCATGACGAATGCGACTTGTCGTTGGACGGTACAGGCCCTCCGCGAGAGCCGTAAACGTTGGGGACACTGCTCTCCCTCCAGCTACCCTTTCTTCGTAGGTGAGCCCGCATTTGCTGGCTGCCCACCCTTGCTGCCAGCACACTCCTTGGGCATGTCCTTCGGAAAGCGATCGTTCGGCTGCCGCGGCTTTTCTCGCTGAGGGAGAGTCTAAATCCACAGTACGCTTGCTTGGCGGCACCAAGGTCTACTTCCTGGAGACGCGGCTGGAGGTGGTATAGGGGGCGATGATGCTGCGTGACGATTCTCCGTCGGCGGCTTTTCGCCTGTTCGAAGTGGACCTGATGAATATGCTGCAACGCGTGCGCAGCCGCCCACGCCGGGCTGATCCTTCATTTGCTTCAGCCGCCTCACCAATACAAAAGAGCACGCCGGCTATGAGCCCGGATGTGCAGAACAGCCACGGGCACGTACGGTCCTGACGCGCGGTCGCGGCCCTCCGGGAGAATCACCTATACCATTCTGAAGGCGCGACATTTCTCCGTGCGAAAGCGGGGCCCCTGAGTAGAAGGTGCGGGTCGAAGTATGAGATTTCTGCTGCACTTGCCGCCCCTGCATGGCCTCACCAACGGCCAGCGGGCCGTGGCATGTACATCCCCCGCGCAAGTTGCGAGTTACGTCTTTACTCCTCGACACTGCACTTGCGCCATCTCAGCTTCACACTTCGCCCGTAAAGATCTCTCGAGGGATCGGCCTTTTAAACGAACGTGCAACGGGTTGTATGCGTCTGGGCCGTGCAGAATCATTGGTAGGAAGGAGTGTCGGATGATCTGCCAGAAGGCTTGGTGCAATCGGTACCGCCGCATCTGGCAGCTGCAGGGAAGAGACTACCGGCTGCGCCTGCGCTAGAAGCCACGGATTTGCTTCCTATTTGTTTTTCTGCGACTATGCGTTTGGGTGCGACAACCTCTACAGATAGAGTGTCCAAGAAAGTACGCTGCGAGCACAAAAGTGTTCCGTACCTGCACACGTTCGTTCTAGCAGACGCGGGAGCATCTGCCTTGATACAGTGCTCCCCGCCAACAGCTTCGTCTGCCACCGCAGCGTCCTTGTCCTTTCGCTGCGCGCGGGTCATCTTCTAGGGAATCCATTTAAACGTGTATCACTTTCCTTCCCGCCCTCTGTGAACCCTAAAGAGTGGACGAAAGCGCGGTGATGGTCCCGTGAAACTCTGTACCAGACAGACAAGCAGCCCTCTTGACGTCTATTCGAGCGCTACGTCGACAGTAACGTCTTCAGTATTTCCACGCTGGTGGGCCCGAGCGCGCGTCTCCGTAAGTAGCCCTTCAGCCTTACAATAATCCTCTGCGTATAGTGTACAAACGGGGCGTACTGCCGCTTCGGTGCCTCCTCATGGAAGAACCGCTAGACAAGATGTCAGTGCCTGAGCCTTGGAGGAAAGATGGGGGGAAAACTTGTCCCGCCTCATGTTCCAGTACGGGAATCAGGCTCCTAAGTGCAGAGAAGACTTCAGCTGCTTCCCGACGCACGTCCTCGTGCTCCAAACGGTGATCGGGCTTGTCAGATGAACCTGCACCCTCAATGCATGCCTGAAAGCATGCTTTTGCTCTCGCATAGACAGTCGCAATTTCCAGCCCTCAGATCATGGATCTCGCCGCAGCGGCGAAGGATTCTCTCGATGCCCTCGTCAGCGGGCAACTCCAAAAGGCTTTGGTAATTTTCAGGAGCGAATGCGTCTGCCCATGCCTGCTGGCTTTTTATTAGTGCGTCCTTTAGTACTACCAAGTGCTCGACATGCTTTCTCAGCTTTTTATGCCGCGAATTCCTCCCGACGAAACCTTTAACCTTCCGCAAAAGGGCTGCGCTGGAGCCCGTCACAGAGTGACTCCGCCTGTGATGCTTCCGGAGCAGGGGGCCTGTAGGTACGCTTTCCATGTCTCTAGTTTGTAAGGGAACATGCGAAAGACGACCCTGCGGTGTGATTGAAGCGGACAAGCAGGGCGCTTCAGGCTCTCTTCAGGAGAATCCCACGGTGGGCGCGGAGCTGGCGTCGCATCGGGTGTGCCATCAGTATTGTCAAGGGAGTCTCTCGACTGGTATGATCTTCCACGCCGTTGGCTACGGCCTTCTCCGGGGCGCGATCCGGGCCCTCAGCGACGAGATGTAGCCTTCGTTCATTCACATCTGCATCGTGTCTTTCGGGCCGTGCCCCGTCGGTGTAACCGTTCTCTCCTTGCTGGGACTCAAGTGTCGTCGCATCGCCTCCTCCACAGCTATCCGCACTGTCTGAGGGGGGGAGACATCCGTACTGGCTCCCTACGTCAGTGTCCTCGCCTGCAACGAAGCTGTCCTCACTGTGCAAAAGTTCAGCTTCACTCTCCACAGAGGCTGCGTTCTCGCTGCGTTTAGCTGCCTCAAAATCGGCGCTGATTTGCGCCTCAATGTCCGGCTGCGCGCTGTCAGGTCGGGCCTCGTCAGTAAGTGGGTGGGTTTCTTCGCTGAGTACAGAAGCCTCTGGCGTACCACGGCCGTCAGTTGCTTCTCCATCCTCTTCCACGGAACCATCAAGCATCTGCTGGGAGCCCACCGCTGCCGGTGTAGTGTCGGACGCCTGTGTGCACCGGTTGCTGTCAGTCACCTCTGCCGCCGTCGGCGGCGGACTTTCCGGAACAACAGAGGAGATGCACCAGCAGCACCAGCAACACCCGCACAACCGCCGTTTATACTGCAGGCTTGTTCGGTGTCCCTGTAGGGAGGACTCTGCGTCCGCTCGTCACGGCCATCTGTACGAGAACTTTCGCCGCAGCAGTTGCACGCACTTGTGCCTACGAGCCCGCTGTTCTGGAAAAGAGGCAACAACAGAACTCCAAGAAGCATGTAGTGGCTGAGAGCGCGGTGAAGCAACGCCATTAGGCTACGAGTGCGGTGAAGAGTACTTTCTGCACGCAGAATACGCGGGCGGTGTGGACACTGGCGCACCTCCACCCCGCTTTGCACAATCGTGGACGCAAGCCTCAACGTTGCGGTACTGGCAGGGAGTCCCGCCTCGCGATGGAGCGGTGGTGAATTCGAGAGGATACAGGGACACAGGTAGACGGTTGCGAGGATGTGGAAACTCAGGAGCAAGCTGTGTGCATTGTGCGAAGTCTTGTCCTCTATACTCACTCCCGACTTACACACGGACGTTGTCTGGTGTGGCACGACGAATAAGGTGTCCGGGATGCATTGGCTCAGCAAAGGACACTTGTGAATGGACCTGCGATCTGTAAGAAAGTCACCTGGGTCTTGTTTGCGTCCCTTGCGTCCACGAATCAGCATGCTCGGGAGCCGCGGCTAGAACCCGTAGTCACCAGCTTCGTCTTTGAGAACCGTCGTCTGTCTCTACTCTCTGTGTACGTCTCAACGCGGCCTCCAGTACGCGTTACTGTTCTGCTTCCGACGACCACATACAAGCGCCCCACGGGTATACGTCCGTCGCAAAAGAAACGCCATAGAGACGCGCCAGTGCAGAACAGTTCAGCCGAGTGTTACTGGCCGCTGCGCCTGTATGCAGCGCATTGCCGGCCCCGAAGCTGCAACCAGTGTCGCATCGTGTGTATAAAACGAGGAGTGAAATTACTGGACCCGCGTTGCAGCCGCCGTCTCGTCCTGTACTAGATGGCAGTAGCATGAGCTGTCCAGCTGCGCACATTGCTTGAGCATACCTTCTCCGCAGCTGTCCACTCTAACGTCAGGGTCTGGTAACGCATAGACCGCTCCTTGCATTTGCCGATGCACACTCAGCGGATCCGAAGACTTTGAGAGCGCGCGGGGTTATATGTGAGGACGGCTGATTTGTCCCGAAAGCAGTCGGTGTGCGCCGAAGCTGTAGCAATTGTGCGCAACGCGGAAGGTAGACAGGACCTCCCGGCTCCGTGACACAGTCAAGCGTGATTGACTGTCAGGGATTCCCTCTCATCGCTTCCTAAGCGCCAGCTGGTCACTCAGCCCTACATGTGTGGCCATCTAGGGCGTACACACCTGTTTTGTAACATCTTCTCTCGCTAGTTCTTCCACGTCAACTGCGTAGATATGCCCAGCTAAAAGTCTTTCCCGGGTCAGCTCCTGGCGTGTTTCTGCCTCGTCAAACGCCGCAGCTAAAAGGTCTGTAGCCGCCTTGTTCGTGGGATACGCCGTTTCTGCGCGACCCCTTCCAGCTGCCTGCAGGCACGCCCCTCCGCCCACGGTGCCACCGTACGCTGGTCAGCGTCGTCTGAACGCGCAGGCCGTTCGTCAGGCTGGCCTTCGGCTTACAAGACCTATTAGAGCCTTCTTGCAGCGTTGTGGAGAGCTCTTATTCTAGACCTGGGCGGTCCATCCGCGCCGCTGCCGCGGGAGGCTAGGAGACTGCGACTTGGTCGACGGCTGCTGCACTTCCACGTACTGATGCCTTCATCTTCCGCCGAGACACTGTTAGTCGACATGTGCCCTTGCGAATTTTTTCGTGCACCAGCAGCAAGCTGCAGAAAGGCTGTCGCCCCTCCCTGGGAATGCCTCATTTTTCACTGTCGCGTATAAAGCGCTCGTTGGTCTGGTGTCGTTCGTCCTGCCGTGATCCTTGCTATCAGCTTCAGAGGAGCCACTCACGAAACGGGCAGAAACCTTGACCCGACGTGAGCCGCGCTCTCAAAGCTGTGCTGAATATTGACACTAGGGCATGGACCGCAAAAATGAGATTATCAGACGTACCCCCAGGAGGCGTGGCCCGAGGTTGCCTGACGTCGCGGCGCTGCCGCCAGCCACATTCTTGAAGTGGAATAGAAGCGCAGTGCTGTAGTACGTACGAAAAGGATACGCACCGCCACCACATTTCCGATATATTGTTTCGTGACTCGAAGGGGACAGGCGTAGAGGGCGCGCGCGTGGCACAAGTCCTGCGCCTCTCTGTGCACCCACAATGTTCACCCCTGTCACGCTGTGCACCGCATAGGCCTGCAGGACGCATCTCAACAGCAGCCGCGAACCATTCTTTTATGAAGCTACCGCGGTACAGTTCATACACCATCGGTTATCGCCGGGTGTGTCAACAGTGCTAGGACGATGGGAGCCCCCGAAAAGAAACGGACAACCTGATCGGACAGATGCAGCTCCTACAACCGGACGTTCCTCAGTACCTCAGCATTCGTTCTCCTCAGGGGCACACCAATGAGCCACCACTCCACGGCCGCCGTAAAAAAGCTGCCGCCTGCAGGGGTACATGGGGTGCGAGCAATTGCTACTGATGTGCGATCGCGACGCTGGAGGAGACCGCATGCGGGGAAGTGTCGCGCTTGTGTTGGATGAGGAACAGTTCACCGCAAAACTCGTTGTCCCTGCGCTGAAGCAAGGTGCAGCTTCCGGGTTTTGCGTTTTCAAAGGAGATGACTCAGTGAAGGCTGTGGGTCCCCGCCGTATTGCCCCGTCGGTGACTGGCTGGTAGGCACCACGCTGCCTAAAATAAACGAGAAAGTGGCTTCTGTAGCCGCCTTTGGCTGGTTATACGCCTTGACCCAAGGCAACGCACCAGAGCTACGCCAGGTACTCGAGCGGACCGCGTCCTACCGGGGGGTCCTGACACGGTACTAGCTCTAAGAGGTCGAACGGGCAGACGTGGCGCTTCTCACTGCCCAGCATAGTACGCGGAGTTGTGACGCACCTACTGCAAAGTGTAAGCACGTCCTGCCTGTGCCGGCGTGTTGGCCACAGCCGTCACGCAAGCAGTACTCTCACGTATTCTCAGGACACAGCCTCTGTCAGTTTCGGCGCGTAGCAGAGTATGCGAGTTTGGACGCGTGCCCGTGTACGCCGGTGGCCGACAATCGTTGTATGCGTGTTTCTGCGGGCTAAAAATGATAGTCATGCGCCGGGGGGACGCTATGCCCGCGGGTACCTATGCCAGGCGCCCTTCACGTGGAACCACTTCGTGTCGGTCCCCCTGATGGATTAGAATTTGTTTTAGCCCAGCTCGTTAGGTAGTGGTGGGTCAGAAAACAGTAACAGAGTGCTGAGCTGCGTCCCTGTGACGAGAGCGTATGCGCGCCTATAAATAGCGGCTGTGGCCACCTTCACTGCTCGCCGCGAGCGGTTCTGTGCGCATTGCTGCGTGTCGCTGAGGGTAGAAACCAGTTAGCCAGGGAGAACAACACCTGACAAACGCGTACAGCCCGCATGCACCGTATACCAAAAACCGGTGCATCCTGAAATGTAGTGCTGCCAGGCTCTTCCAGATGCCCAGCGCGCCTGACGTGCTCTGGGACCAAGTAACCATATAAAAGCGAGGAACGCGAACAGTACGAAATTTGACTCGCTTCCCTCGTGAAGTGTGAAGGAGGGTAGTTATTGGGTGGGGCAGCGAATGCCACGTCGAACCCACCCTGTATTCACGGCGGCCTCCAAGTTATCTCTCACCGGCCGCTATGGCTCTCTCCACTGCTTCGTGACCCTCTTTCTTGCACCGGGCGTTCTCTAACGCGCGTGAGCGCCACAGACGAGTACTGCTGCTTGCTAGCGCTGAACTGCGCGCTCCAAAACAGTCGACCGGTGTCCGCGTTACTTGACAGAAGGGGACTCATCGGGCAGTAGACATCCTCATATACACGCACAGATAATTATGCAGCTACCGCCCAAGCGGCACACCCACCTCGGCCACGAGATCACGGTAATGATGCAGACGTGTCGGATAAAAAATCCCCCTTACACCTCTGTGGTAACAAACTAGGCACATGCATCGCGCTGCACCCGGCTGTCCACATGAGAAAACCTGACTAGACCTCTGTTGCATGGGTCGTCGTCCCTCGAGAACACCACGACAGTTGCGGTCGTGCGTGATCCGCACCACATCGAGAACTGGTGGAGTGAAAGCCGGGGTCCGACTTCGCCGAGAATCGCTCTACGGAAGTGGGGTTGTTTGCTCGCGGCTTTTGGCGTTTGCTGGCTTGATGCCATGCCCTCTAAAGCCCAGCTGCACTTTTGCCGATTTTGCATCGCGTTTTCCGTAAATCTCCATGCGAAGAAATGGGTCCATATGCAGTAGGTGTCCGCTAGCACCCCACCTTTGTGAGGCCTTAGCTGCGTGATGCACCAGCATGTCTCCTGACGAACCCCTGATGCTTCCTTGTGCGCGACTTATATGAATGCTCAACCTCGAAGTGTGTGGCTGAGGGACAAATGGGCGTGTCGACTTTTTTTCTTGTTAGCAGTCCGCTTTCATTGTGGTAAAGAGGGCCAGTATTTAAAAAAATACGCACCCGTCATGCGTCATCTTACAAACTGCGCAAATAGTCAGCGTTATTAGTTCAAACAGCGAGGGCAGCAGATGCCCCGGCGTAACTGCTGGCGCCGGTGGCACGGGGGGTCTGCGGCTTGTAATCCGTCAGCCAATGCTGTTTTCCTACGAAATTGTATTTCGCACAGGCGCATCCAGGAGCCGTGGGACCCTACCTCGCGTTTTACACGTACACAAGAGAGTACCAGTGGGGCCTGGTTGTCGAGTATGCCAAATGGGGTGAGATGCTGGTGCCACCGACTGACACCCGTTTTTATATAGTTTCCTCTGAGGAGCCGTGTGTGCTGCCTACGATGTACTCGTGGGAAATCAAACTGGGGGTGGGGAGATGACCATGTCAAAGTGTGTTCACTTTGGACACGCTTGTTTGCTACGCTTTCTTCGTGCCGGCCTACTTCACCGCTGCCGTGGGCCATTGGCGCTGGAGGTCCCGCGGTTCGGTGTCCAGCTTATGCTTCTCACAACGTAGCGGAAGGTCACTGTCCCGACGGGAGGCTGCGGAGCCTCTTCACCTGTATAGGAGGCGCGTGTCGGCATTATCGTCGGCATCCACTGCAAACTGCTGGAGACCGTATGTCCGCGTAAAGGTGGCGTCCACCCCAGACGGCACTGCGTCTTCGCCCACAAACCTGAGGTGTCGCGCGTCTCCTCTGCAGGCACCTTTCTGCCGGTTTACATGAGTCCGTACACATCTCACCAAGATTTGATCTCTTCTGGGGGCGTGGCGAAAGCGTCCGCAGCGGTTTAGAGACGTTCACCTCCTGCGCAGCCGGGAGGTGGCGACGCAGTGCGGGTACGGCTGTCTAACGGCCGCTTTGCATCGTCTGGAACTCACGGTAGTGCGGGCTAGTACTGAGTGCGTCCACCGACAGAACCGGCTGCACGGTGGCTCCTCTGGAACACTGATTAGGCAAGCAGTGCATAATGTCGTCTTCCTGCTTCGCTCGGTGCGGTGTCAGCTACCGCTGACCTCACGAGAGATCGGTTCAAAGCGCGTCCAGCGCATCTCCGCCAGACAGTGCCCGACCGTTGTCCACGAGGTCGCGAGGCGACAAACGTCTCCTTCGACCACCCTGGCAGCCTCTAGGCATCGCCTGCCATCGACAACTTTGTTCGCACTCTGCGGGGCGACCGCCGGGGGCGCCAATATCAGACGCGCTTGACTAGCGTTGTGAGGAGTCGACAAATGTGACTCCGCTGCCGTCTCGCCGACTTAGGCGGGCCTCAACGATGTCCCGATCCATTGGGTAGTTCTTCCGAGGTATTTTGAGAGCGTGGCGGGCATGTCTCACACAGGCGGCCACTCCTGTTGTCTCCACGTCCACAAAAGAGCGAGCGTCTTTGGTGTTCTCTGTCGCTGATCTTCTTACCGCAGCTGCATATTTTCTTCCAGTCCAAAGCTCGCCGAAAACGTGCCGGGGCCAGTACACTAGCCGAGGTTGGCCTTAGGCACCTGGGAGATAGCATCCACATACTCTTCTCGCCTTCCGGCTGAGCAGTATGCAGCGGTCGCAGAGCTCGAGGCCACCTGGATTTGTGTCTGGATTCGTGCGAGTACCTCGTGCGTTCGGAGGCACCGGCTCTGCTCCGCTTTCGCCTCCCCGGCGCTCTTGCTGCAGCGTCTGCAGACGAGAAAACCGCCTGAGGTCCTCTGGATGCGTGTCGGGCACGTCCATTTCAGATATACGAAGTTCTTTTTCTCTGACGCGGACCGTCACCTGCGCTCCTGGTTCGACTGTCGAGCCTGCCCCCCGTTCAACTTCGTGCTGAGGTCCTCTTCAACGCCTGAATCTGATAAAAACGCTTGAGGTCGTCTGGATCTGTGTCGGGGACATCCATTTCAGAAGGTCTCCAGCTCATATGGCTTGAGCTTAGTGGTGTTGGCTCTCTGCCGCTCTCGCCTTCCCTGTTGTGATCCTGCAGCATCTGCAGACGATCAAACTGCGTAAACTCCTCTGAGTGCGTGTCGTGCACGTTCATTTCAGGTGATATACGAGCTCCTTTCCCCGTGGTGGGGGATGGCAGCGCTGCACGCCGTTCACCTGCGGGCTGAGCCCTCTTCAACGCCTGCATCTGGTAAAATTGCTTGAGTTCGTCTGGGTGTGTGTCGGGGACATCCATTTCAGAGGGTCTTTTGCGAGTATATGCTGAGCCCAATGGTTCCGGCGCTGCTCTGCCGTCGCCTCCCCGCTGCTCCGCCCGCAGCGTCTGCAGATGAAAAAGTCGCCTAAGGCTTTCTAAAGGCATCTCAAGGAGGTTTGCCCTAGAGAACACACGGGCTTTCCTCCCCGCAAAAACACATTTCTTTTCTGTGGCTCGCCCACCTTGCTGATGGGCGCTCTGCCGCGCCTGCATCTGATAAAATCGCCTGAGGTCGTCTGGATGTGTGTCGGGGACATCAAATTCAGATGATGTCCGCCGAATACCGCTTGAGCTCACGAGTGTCGACACGGCGCTGCTCTCGCCTTCCCGCCGCCCCCCCTGCAGCACTTGCAGACGCGCAGTCCGCCTGAAGTCCTCTGGGAGCGTGTCGGGCACGCCCGACTCTAGGAATACACCGGTTTCTTGCCCCGTACCGCCAGCCGTCATTTCTGTTATTCTTTCACCCTGCTGCTGAGCGCTACGCAGCGCCTGCATCTGATAAAATCGCTTGAGGTCTTCTGGATGTGTGTCGGGGACATCAAATTCAAACAATGTCCGGCGGTTATCGCTTGAGCTCAAGGGTGCCGAAGCAGCGCTACTGTCGCTTTCCCCGCCGCTCCCGCTTCGGCAACTGCAGACGAAAAAACCGCCTGAGGTCCTGTAGATGCGTGTGAGGCACGTCCGACTCAAAGAATACGCCTGTCCCTTCCCCCGTGCTGACAGCCGTCACTTTTGCTGCCCGTTCACCCTCTTGCTGAGCGCTACGCAGCGCCTGCATTTGATAAAAGCGCCTGAGGTCGTCTGGATGTGTGTCGGGAACATCAAACTCGGACGGTGTCCGGCGGTTACCGCTTGAGATCACGGGTGGCGACGCGGAGCCGCTATCGCCTTCCCGCCGCTCCCCCCTCGGTATCTGCAAAGGATGAAACCCCCTGAGGTTCTCTGGATGCATGTCAGGGACGTCCGACTCGGGTATTACACCAGTTTCTTTCCCCGTGGTGCCAGCCGTCATTTCTGTTATTCTTTCACCCCCCTGCTGAGCGCTCTGCAGCGCCTGCATCTGGTAAAATCGCTTGAGGTCGTCTGGATGCGTGTCGGGGACATCCATTTCGAATGGTGTCCGGCGAATACCGCTTGAGCTCACGGGAGTCGACGCAGCGCTGCCCTCGTCTTCCCGCCGCTCACCCTGCAGCATTTGCAGACGATGAAACCGCCTCAGGTCCTCTGGGTGAGTGTCGGGGACGTCCAACTCAGATAATACGTTAGAGGTTTTGCCCCTGGTCGCGGCCGTCACTTTTACTACACGTTCACCCTCCGGCTGAGCACTCTGCAGCGCCTGCATCTGATAAAATCGCTTGAGGTCGTCTGGATGTGTGTCGGGGACATCAAATACAGACGGCGTTCGCCGAATACCGCTTGAGCTCGCGGGTGTCGACGCAGCGCTGCTGTCGCCTTCCCGCCGCTCCCTCTCCAGCACGTGCAGACGATAGAACCGCCTGAGTTCTTCCTGGTGCGTGTCGGGCACGTCCGACGCAGGTGATACAGCAGCCCCTTCCCCAGCGGTGGTAGCCGTTATCCTTGCAATTCCCTCACGCTCCTGCTGAGCGCCATACAGCGCCTGCATCTGATAAAATCGCTTGAGGTCGTCTGGATGTGTGTCGGGGACATCAAATACAGACGGCGTTCGCCGAATACCGCTTGAGCTCGCGGGTGTCGACGCAGCGCTGCTGTCGCCTTGCCGCCGCTCCCTCTCCAGCACGTGCAGACGAGAGAGCCGCCTGAGGTCCTTCAGGTGCGTGTCAGGCACGTCCGACTCAGGTAATACACCAGTCCCTTCCCCCGTGCTGAGAGCCGTCATTTCTGCTACTCGTTCACCCTCTCGCTGAGCGCTATGCAGCGCCTGCAGTTGATAAAACCGCTTGAGGTCGTCTGGATGTGTGTCGGGAACGTCAAATTCGAACGGTGTCCGGCGGGTACCGCTTGAGGTCAAGGGTGTCGACGCGGCGCTGCTCTCGCCTTCCCGCCGCTCCCCCTCCAGCACTTGCAGACGAGAGAGCCGCCTGAGATCCTTCAGGTGCGTGTCAGGCACGTCCGACACAGGTGATACACCAGTCCCTTCCCCAGCGGTGGTAGCCGTTATCCTTGCAATTCCCTCACGCTCCTGCTGAGCGCCATACAGCGCCTGCATCTGATAAAATCGCTTGAGGTCGTCTGGATGTGTGTCGGGGACATCAAATACAGACGGCGTTCGCCGAATACCGCTTGAGCTCGCGGGTGTCGACGCAGCGCTGCGGTCGCCTTCCCGCCGCTCCCTCTCCAGCACGTGCAGACGAGAGAGCCGCCTGAGGTCCTTCAGGTGCGTGTCAGGCACGTCTGACTCAGGTAATACACCAGTCCCTTCCCCCGTGCTGAGAGCCGTCATTTCTGCTACTCGTTCACCCTCTCGCTGAGCGCTATGCAGCGCCTGCAGTTGATAAAACCGCTTGAGGTCGTCTGGATGTGTGTCGGGAACGTCAAATTCGAACGGTGTCCGGCGGGTACCGCTTGAGGTCAAGGGTGTCGACGCGGCGCTGCTCTCGCCTTCCCGCCGCTCCCCCTCCAGCACTTGCAGACGAGAGAGCCGCCTGAGATCCTTCAGGTGCGTGTCAGGCACGTCCCGACACAGGTGATACACCAGTCCCTTCCCCAGTGGTGGCACCCGTTATTCTTGCTACTCCTTTAGCCTCCTGCTGAGCGCTATGCAGTGCCTCCATCTGATAAAATCTCTTGAGGTCGTCTGGATGTGTGTCGGGAACATCCATTTCGGATGCTGTCCGGCGAACACCGCTTGAGCTCACGGGTGTCCCCCGCAGCGCCGCCTTCGTCTTCCCGCCGCTCACCCTGCAGCATTTGCAGACGACGAAACCGCCTGAGGTCCTCCGGGTGCGTGTCGAGCACGTTCGTTACAGGTAATGCTACAGTCGCTTCCCCCGTGGTGGCAGCCGCCGTTTTTGCTACTCGTCGGCCCTCCTGTTGAGCCCCCTGCAGTGCCTGCATCTGGTAAAAGCGCTTGAGGTCGTCTGGATGCGTGTCGGGAACATCAAATTCAGACGATGTCGGCCGAATACCGCTTGAGCCTACGGGGTTCGACGCGGCGCTGCTCTCGCCTTCCCGCCGCTCCCCCTCCAGCACTTGCAGACGTAGAAACCGCCTGAGGTCCTCTGGGCGCGCGACAGGCACGTCCGACTCAGCGAATACGATAGTCCCTTTTTCCGTGTTGACAGCTGTCATTTCTGCTACGCCTTCACCCTCTTGCTGAGCGCTGCGCAGCGTCTGCATCTGATAAAATCGCTTGAGGTCGTCTGGATGTGTGTCGGGGACATCCATTGCAGAGGGTGCCAGGAGAATATCGGTTGAGCTCAGTGACTCCCGCTCTGCGTTGCTGTCGCCTTCACGCTGCTCCTCCGTCGGCGTCTGCAGACGGTAGAGCCGCCTGACATCCTCTGGGTGCGTGTCGGGGATGTCTTTTTCAGGTAGCGCACGATCTTTTTTCCTCGCAGCGGGAATCGCCAGCGCTGCTTCCCGCTCAGCTCTTCGCAGCGCCCGCCTTTCGTAAACGCGCTGGCGGTCGTCAGGGTATACGTCGGGAACGTCCGTTGCTGGTGGCGCCGCGCGACTGTAGTCCCATTTGAGTGCTACCGTTCCTCCCGGGTGGTATTCCGCCACACGCGCCGAGCTCGCCGCGGGCACCTGGTGCAATCTCTTCAGATCATTTAAATGCGTGTGAGGGTAGTCCACTCCAGGCAAAACCCGGCGACGGACTCCGTACCCGCCTGATGCAAAGCCTCCCCCACTATGTCCGTTCACGCGGGCCCCATGCAGCGTCGGCCTTTGATGGAAGCGTGCTAGCTCATCAGCATGCCTGTCAAGAGAGATCATCTCTGGCGGCAACTGATAGTCGCCCCTGGCGCTGGCAAAAAGCGGTGCTGCTCGCCTCTGGCTTTCATGTTGAGGAAGCCGTAGGTCCCACCCTTCATGATATTGTTCTAGATTGTCTGCATGCGTGTCAGGGAGGTCCACGCCGGCTCCCGCCGGAACATGGTTTCCGGCATTGGATAGTGCCGAGATGTCTTGCATGAGCGCTCCTGTGCGGGGCACCCTCACCGCCCGTCTTCTACGGGTGCGCCACTCATCATGAGGGTGCCCACCGGCGACGTCTCCGTCGGATGACGGGATGCGGGCGCCTCCCAAATCGAGCGGCACTGAGCCCCCCCTGACCAAATCCTTCGCTAGGAAGTATCAGCTTTTCGGGTTGAGCGAAGCTGCCGATGCCGCCCGGGCGGATGTCGGGAACGTCCGAGTCGGACGGTGTTCGGCCACCGGACCCCACACTGAATGAGGTCCCTCGTCTCTTCATTCGGCCGCCCACTTGGGGGCTGTTGCGCGTGGTAAAAACGCGCGCCGTGGTTGGGATTGTCAGTTGCCGGCGGTAGCTGATCTTGGCCAAAGACCATCGATGGCGATGAAACCTCTCCGCTGTCTCTGGCATGCTGATTCCCCATGGTCTGGTTTTGCTGAGCATACTCGGCATTTGCTGGAGGTGTGACGGGGGGATCTATTAGAAAAGGCGGGAGATCATCCTCTTGGGCGACGCTTAAAAGCGGAGCACGTGGGCTGCGGCTTTCCAGCTGAGCGCTGTGGAGCGCTTGCACTCGGGCAGCGCGCTCAGAGTCCTCCGAGGGCGTTTTGTGAGCATCCGTCTCAGACGGCGGCTGACCCGGGAAACCGGGATCGGTTTTCGGGCCGCTGTGGAGCTCAAGTTCTGATGTAAATCGCTCGAGGTCGTCAGGAAACACGGCAGCGCGGTCGGTTTCCCGGCCGCCTTGCAGCGCAGGTCTCGATGTGAATCGCTCGAGGTCGTCGGGGAACACGGCAGCGGAGTCGGGTTTCTGGCCGCCGTGCACCTCAAGTTCCAATGTAACTCGCCCGCCGTCGTCAGGGAGCACGGCAGCGGCGTCGGTTATTCGGCCCCTGGGCAGCTCATGTTCTGGTGCAGGTCGCTCGAGGTCGTCAGGATGCACGGCAGCGAAGCCGCTTTCAGGTGATGTAACAGGCCCTTCTGGATTCTGTTGTGCCTGCTCCTGCTGAAAGCGCTGGAGCTCCTGTGTATCATGGTCGGGAAGGCCGGTCGGGAAGGCCGCTCACAAGAGACTGTGAGCCCTCGGATTCCGGCCGTGTCGTTACTGCCATTGCAGGCGCGGGCCCTTCCCCGGAGTCCGCGCTGCGGCCTTCTGCTCCGAGGCGCTCACCGTTTACATCTGCTGAGCCCGCAGAGGGCACAGACTGTCCGGTGAGCCCATCCACAGGTTCATATGTAGGCGGAGAGCTTTGCGGCGGCGTCCCCGCAGGAGCCAGGTTGCCTTCGGTCTCCTCGACCCTCGTGGCTACGGCGCTAGCAGACGCCGGTGCTGTCTCTCCATTAGGTAACGCGACAACGTTTGCTGACCCGTGTCCTGGTGCCGGAGCCGGTTTCGCCATGCTGTCGAGCTTGGGCTGGCCGTTCCCGAAGGACTCTATTTGGGGGAGGACTTGCTTCGCCTCGGTAAGCACATTCACAGCTCGTCTCAACAGCTCCTTCTTCCGCCCAGATATATTCGTCCTGCTCCCTGTTGACTTGACACACTTCTCACTGTAATGCTTGACGACCACGTACAACGAATGAACGCAGATCGTGGCTCTGCGTGCGGTGGTACAGCTTTCGACGATGTCGTCAGCCGTGCCTGCTGCTGCTGCTTGCAGAAAGGAGCCGTAGTTTGCTGGATGGAAAACCGCAGCCATCTTCGCGCGGTGTTCCTTGATAAGTTTTAGCAGCCGATCCATCTCATCCACATGCTTCTGAAGCTTGGAAAAGCAGCTAGACCTCCCGCCCACTTTTTTGATTTTGAAAAGCAGTTTTCCGCCTCCACCGCCTGCGGCGGCATGCGGGCTTTCAGAAGTCGGCGTTTCAGAACTCGACGTCTGCTCGTGGATACTGGAATCTGCGTTGTCTGACTCTGCGCCGCTACTCAGCGACGTCTGGATGGTGCGTAAAAATGTCAGCGCGGGGTTCTCTGCGGCTTTGAACGACCCGGCGTATCTCCAGCGGAAATAACGTCGCTCGTCTCTTGATCTGGCCGTTCCCCTTGGAGCTCTCCAACCCCAGCTTCCGTCGGTTCAGCAGCCGAGGGCCCCTGCGGGGCCACGGCACCCTGGATAAATCCACAGCCTTGCTGCCCGTCTACCGTGAGGTCCCACTGAACTATATCGCTGTTGCCGAGAACCCCGGCGAGCGCGCTACTAGCGGCGCCCGCCACGTCAGTGTTACTCTCGATGCCATCTCGGCTCGGCGTCGCCGGTTTGCCGCTCGAGCTCCCCATGCTGATGTGCAGAGACTACAGAAGAAAAGGGATACCATACAACAATAAAGAAGATAAGGGGCCGCCATGCTGTGGCTAATGTGTTTTCGGAGGTACGCGCGACGGCTGCGCAGCAGGCTCCCTCTGTAACGCATGTCAGTACTGAGCTGTACTGGCAAGCTTTACACTGTTTGAGCACTCCGTAGCGTTGCAGTACTGATCGGCCCTTTAGAGGGAGGCATCCCGTACAACGTTGTGCTAATCCACGGGACAAGGGGTTCATCGGCTGCAGGAGCCCCGAGACGGTCACCGCGGCAGCGTAAGGTGTCACTGCAGGTATGGCCGAATCCAGGTCGCTGACGTTTCTACCATGCCGAAGACAACAGTTAGGACCCAGGCTGTGACACACTCGGAACGTCATCCTTTTACGGCTGTAGCCGCTACCAAGTGCTCAAAGGAGGGGTCTCCGCTCGATTTTATGCCGAGCGAACGGGAAGGACAGATGCCCGCGTGAGTTCTGCCGCGCTAAGGGGCTGCAAGAGGGGGCAGCGGGGGTCGCATTCTAGAGTGTTCCACACGATCCCGAGCCGCGCAGTGAAAACGACGCAGTCAATGTCGACGAGGCGCAGACTACTCAGAGACATCTGAAGGCCTGAAGCAGATTAGCAGAGATACACCGTCCAAGAATTTGTACGGAGCACTAGCAGCGAAAGCGATACAGCCAGTCAATCTGGTAACGGAAGCACTCCGAAGCACGAGCGGCCGAACTCACCCCGGACGGCAAAGCCTCACGGCTGACAGACGGAAAGGCACCAGCCCAGCCGCAGGCTGCAAGAAAGCAACACACGCAGGGGCAGAGAGGGAGGATCTAGCGCTGCCCCAATAACTGCGCTGCAGCAGACGAGGCCGAGAGACAAAAGCTCCCGCTTTTGGACTATAGAAGAGGCATTTAACACAGTGCAGACTTTCCCTTGGCTGCTTAGAGCTGGACGGCCGCGCACTTTTGAACCCAGCACAGCATCTGCGGCAAAGGCTGCAGTGGGTAAGAAGGTAGCGCGAAGCGGCTCCGCGGCTGTGCAGCCGGGCCACTCTGCCGCCTCCTGGAGAAGAGGGGTAAAGAGTTTCATACCGTGCGTGTATTACTAGATAGTATGCATGTCATCTGTTGAGCGGGCGACCGTGGACGCCTAGCGGGCGGTGAGAGTACAAGAGGAGGTCAGAGAAGGACGCTAGATGGAGCGCTACCACGGTTCCTGCAGGTGGGCCGCTTTTTGACCGTTGCAACGCATAATAGAAGGATTGGCATTCACACAGTCAGCGACGAACACGGCGCTTCGCGTCTTCCTGCGGGGACTCACAACAGGGTGCGACATCTGCAGCATCCTTCGCATTCAGCGCTCACCACAGCTGCAGTGCTTTACGTGCAAACCCTCTCCAGCTCGCGAGAGTCGCGCAGCCACAAAGAGGCTGCTCACTCCTGAGACCTCCACATGCAATATGGAGCGTATCGACGTATGCCGGAGAACCGCCTACAGCGAATTCTGCACTGTGAAAAACGAGTGAATTGCGCGCTACGTCTGTATCGTATACGGACGTTCAGCACGTGCACGAGCTCCGGCGGTGTCAGCTTGCCATGCGCACTGATCATCGTGTGCATACGACGCCACGGAACCGGTAACACGCATATGCGTATGCCAGGCGGATGTGGCGGCCTTCATACGACGGGAGGAGCTGGGAAGACGCCTTCCCCAGCAGGCGCACCCCCCAGCAACTCAGCGTATGACGTAGTTGGCGCATTATCGTACAGTACAGCAGTGGAAATCATGAGGCCCCAGTGCTAGTGATGTGGCTTTAACCTGCCAAGACGCTACCGAGCGGCCGCCTGGCCTTCCGGTGCATACACCCGCTGATGGGTAGGCCAGAATGCTGCTCGCTCACGGGGACAGTCGCCGGCCGATGCTATGCGTGCGTACTTGTAACAGCGGCGCCATGCATTAGAAGAAGGGGACGTCGTATGATCGGCACACGACCAAGATAATGGCACAGCTGTCCCTGCGATGACGCGCTCAGGATCTTGTATGGAAGCTGCGCCTTTGCTAGCATTAGAGGGCCTTCCCGCACCCTACATCTGTGGTAGTTACCCGAAGAATGTGGTCCTGTCCGGAGTCGAACGACGCAGAGTGCTAACGAATGCTGACGCTTGTCGCATGCTGCCGCTAGAGACCCCATCTCCCACAAGGCGGAAGGACAGCCGAGTGTCAGCTAAAAAAGCACACGGAGCAAGCTCCCCGAGAGTACATATCCTGCTGTCCAGATTCAGCAGGCCCCAGCAGGGCGGCTCCAGCTCGGGTGACTGTACGAGTTGATTTGTCTTGGCCAGCTGTATGCGTCTAAAGGAGGGAGCACACGCACACACGTGTTTGTGCCTTTGCTGATGTAAGGGTCAACAAGCGTAAGCCAAGGTATCCTGGTATTGTTTCTCATGTGGGCCGTGCTCAAACTTCTGCTGGGACAAAACTCGTTCATGGATCGCACGGAAGCGCACAGACCTGTAAGAGGTGGTATAGAGCAAGGGGAGGGGACGCGGATCTGTTGGCAATCAAGACGCAGGCTACCTATATACGAGGAGCACTCGTCGGAGGGGGCACACTTATAAGCGGTCGTACGGTCCTGACCACAGCGCGCCGCCTATTTCTGTTCCGGCGGGAATGTGTATCGAGGGCATTAGCCAGCAGAGCATCAGATACGCACGCGCTCATGCTTTGCTCCCACTGCCGCATCGAACCGCTGGGTCACCCTGTGCTTTACGCGGTACGTTGTAGTAGGCGGTCCGTTGCCGTTTTTGGGTTGCTTTGGAGTAGCACGTTCACTGCACACGCCTCCCTGACATTTTCCTCTCTTCTGTTCCTGCTCCTCAGAGTCTTCCTGATCAGGCAGGAGCCTCCGGTCTTCTATACTTGCTCCGCAGTAGCGCGGGTACAATTGGAACTTCCTCTGGCACCAATACGACCATATTGTACATTTCTATGCAGGTAGACGTTGCCGCTGTGGTATTCTGTCTTTATAAGACCGCTGCGAGGAGGTATCACAGACGTAGCTAGAGCGCAGAAGTGGCCTGGGACCACTCCGCGCGGTCTCTCAACCTTGGTAGTGTCGCGGCAAGCCCTTCTGTCCGCGAACGAACTGGCTGTGAATATTTCGAGTTGAGCATGTGGGCGTGCTCACTACGTCGACTAATGCTCTTTTACTCGACCTTCCCTTGGGGCGCAGCGCGTTCCCCGGCGCGTCCACTAGGATTCCCCCTGATGCACGACCATTTAGGGAGGCCCAGTGCTTGTCTTCCTCTACACAACGTTACACCCTACTTCTGGCTTCGCCGGCGCCTCTCGCCACTGTCATGCACAAACAGGTCTTGGGTCATTTCGGACCTGTGCAGCACGGCCTATCAGTTGCTGCACCTGATGTCGGCTTCCGCTGTATCACCGCAAGCTCCCCTATGCCGTATTAGAGACGGAGCCTCTCAGTATAAGGTATCATTAATAGTGCGGTCCCGCGCGAGCAGGCATCTAGACTGCTCCCTGTCTGCCGCGTGACGCTACCTCAGGTTTCGCAGACAGTGAAGCCAGACTGCTGGCGCCACAGATCTTCCGTGTTTGACAGCAGCCTCGACACACGCGGTGGATGTCATCTTTGCCTGCTGCCTGCTCCCCTGTCTGTCGCGTGAAACTACCTCAGGTCTGCGTGGGGTAGGGTTCTGCTCTCGCACCTGCAGCAATCTTCCCGCTTCAACGGCAGCTTCCAGATAACGGAACGAACTCTTTATGTTGGCGTGCCGCTGTCAAGTGGAACGTGCTCGCGTGAAGCTCCTGCTTCTACTCAGGCACCATCGTCGCGCACTAGTCCGATAGGTTTACCACGCAGTCCCTGCACATTTTGCGCGAGCGTCCGCTGATAGCCTAGCCATGCCACACCCGCGCCCTGCTACGCAAAAGTACACGGTCGTCTTGCGGCGCTCCAAAGAAACAGATTAGCTCAGATGTCTCCAAATGACAGCAAATTCTGGCTGTAGGCTTGGCTACTTCTGCGCCGCCGGCAACGCGGCAGACTGTGCCAGCCGTCTCTTAGACCCGCGGAAGCGCGGAGTCAACTTGTTCGTAGGGAAGGAGGAAAAAATTTGCACGCCCCTCCAGCAGCTGAAGAGAGCAGCTCAGCTGCAACTCTGCACGGTGGTCAACATAATTTCACCGCAATGCGGACATGTACGTCCGTACTGGAGAGGGCAGTAGGCTTTTTTTCTCGCCAGTTCGGGGTGGTACACGCCGCGCACAACAACAGTGCAGCACACCTACCATCTGCCCAATCTTGGGCACCACAGCCTCGGCTGTTTCGGCTCGTCTGAAGCTTTCTCCTTGTCCCTCTTGCACTGCCCATGTGATGCAGGCCGCATTCATAGGATACTGCGAGCCGTGGCAGAGGGAGATCACGAAGCTAACAGTATCGGCCGCGCACTGTACGACTACGGCAACTCGTTAGCACTCACTGGAGAGTCGAGTTCGTGTCTATAGTAGCACGACGAGAACTACCCTTCATTAATAGTGGCTATCTGACGGGCACACAAACACAGCCGTCTGCTGCGCTCCTGCTGTAACTGCTGCTGCCTTCCATGCAGGGCTGGCTGTACAGCGTACCGGTACGCACTCGCGTGTACTCGCCTTATACGTAGGTGGTGAAGAACGTCGCTTGTGTGACCTAGCTTCTATCATACAATGCCTCTATTCAGAGGCTTCATCTTCTGCAAGCATAATGCGACTACTGCTGCCTTCACTACCTCGCTGGCGGCACCGCACACCACTACACTCCAGCGGACCCACCGGCCACCTCTCCACCTCTGCGGCAGAAGTGGACCAGAACATCGCATATGACCTCACGGAGGTCACGTGAAGCATGCATTCAAAATGACGTCGCCGTGCATGGAGATCTAGTAACCTCTAAGGTACATCTGTAGCGGCGGCGATACCCGTTAATGCGCAGACAGTACGCCAGGTGCTTATACTACATGCGGCCCTAAAGCCCTCGCAGAAGTACATAAACTGCCGCGCGCCACTTCTATCCGGCGTAAAGATTTCGCCGAGTCCTGCGGCTCGTGCCTTCAGTGGTTCACGACTCTGTGAAAAGTCTTCTTCCGCCCCTCCCGAGAGGTATACGGGGCGGCGGCTGCCACCAATACAGACTCAATTTCTCCAGCGGCAAGAGTCGACCTCGAGAAAAGCTGTTGCCGCTCTTTCGAGCGATGTACTAATTGGCACGGTCATGGTGCAGCTCGCACGCTCACTCAATCTCGACTCTCTGAGAAACCCTCTTCCGAGAGGTGGACATGACTGGCGCCGCCGCCTCTGCGAGATTATCTCTTTTCAACGGCGGGGTTCAGTATTGAGAAATTATGTGGTCGCTCTTCCGAGAGGTGCACCTCCTGAGCCTGCCCCCATACAGAATTATCTCTTTCCGCCCGGCACAACTCACTCTCAGATTTATACCCTACCAGCAGCACGACAGGTGTTTTGAGGTGCACCTCATGGGCCTGCCGCCCAGACAGAATGGTCTCTTTCCAGCGGCACGCCTTGCGCTCACAGTTATACCTCTTCGGCAGCACGCCTCAGAACTATCTATTTCCCCTTGGCCCAACGCATTCACTAGTCTCCGTTTGCAGTCGCACCGCCCATCCTCGCAAACCTCTCCTTCCGGCGGCGGGACAGAATCCCACCCTCACAATTGTCTCTTTCCGTTGGACCACCGCACCCACCATTTTTCCTCTCCGATCGCACTACCCATCCGAACAAAGCTCTCCCCCAGTCGCGCAGCTCAGTTTGAGCTTATTCGTCGCCCAGATCGGCTTACTCTCAGGATTCTTCTACTTCGAAAAGCACGGCCCATCCCCGTATTCGTCTCCCGCACTGAATCATCCTCGAAATGATCTCTCTCGAATGCCACGGCCCCCTCTTGTCATGTTACTCGTCTCTTTTACCCTGCCTTCAGCATTCTCCTTCGAGTGCATAGTTGGCGCTCGGACTTTCAGCAGCTGCAGGTCCCATAGACCGTTTTTCTACAGCTTGACTAATAGTCTGCTTTTCGTATGCTCGGGTGCGCGTTACGCCTCATACTACAGACGGCGACATTCGGATCCGATGTATACCTGTAGACAGGATATTTCAGTTCGGCTCCCCCACTCAGTTTTCTCACACCTCCTACGTGGCTCTGTCGTCCTTCAGCTCCCCTCACTGCCTTCGCGCACACAAACTACGAAGTTGAGGCATGCTACACGACGCCACATCGTGGCAATTTGCGGTAGGTCACGTCTGTAGAAAGAGACTTCTGACCTACTACGCATTGTCGCACCCGTTGAGCAGTATCTATTCTTTTCCGCTGGCGCCACGTATGCTACACGATGCAACATTGTCAACGTGGAGTCGCCCACGTCACTACACAGAGACCTGCGCGCAGCCACACGTTGTCGGACCAGCTTTATACCACACTAACAATCAACAGTAGCCCAGGCTAGCCAAAGACTGTTCAGTTGTACTACACAGAAGTAGAGTATGCTACACAGTGCCACACTGGCGGACCGCAGTGGCTAACGTGACTGCAAAGGCGCTTCAGCGTTACTGCACTGAAGTCCAAGTGTCCTTCCACTATGTTGCGCTGGCGATCTACAGTTATCTACATAGGCAAGTACAAACGCACTCCTATGATACTACACTGAAGGTAAATGTCCTCCAGTATGTTATGCTGACAGGCTGCGGTTATCCCTTACGTTAGTACAACCCCACTTCAGCGCTACTGCACCGCAGATAAACGACCTCCACTATGTGCCCTTCAGTGCTACTACACTGATTTTGAGAGTCCTCCACTATGTTACGCTGGCAGTTTGCCGCTATCACTTGCGTCAGTGCGAACGCACACCAGTGCGACTACAGTCTTACGCGGGCAATCTGCAGTTATTACTCGCGTCAGGGCAGACGGTACTCCAGTGCTACTACAGTGAACATAGATGTCCTACTACGCTATGTAGCAAGCTGCGGCGGGTCCGGCCAGTAGTAGACACATCGGTGCTACTTTTTATCGCCCTACCCGTCCCGCGATATCTATTCTATTCGCTCGTGCCACGTACGCCAATACCATTCATTGCCGTACAGTAGACACTAGCCAGGTAGTACTACTGTAAATACTTCCCACGTAGCAGTATTGTAAGTACTTCCCAGGTAATAGTACTATAAGCACCTCGCAGGCAGTAGTACTGTGAATACTTCCCAGGTGGTACTACTGTGAACAATACTCAGGTAGTAGTACTGTAAATAGGACTCAGCTAGTAGTACTGTTTAATACTTCCCAAGTAGTAGTACTGTGAATAGCACCCATGTAGTAGTACCGTGAAGACTACCCGGGTAGTAGTACCGTAAACCCTACCCAGTTATCTATACTATAACTATTACCCAGGTAGTAGTACTAGTACTTATACCATTGTAGTAGTACTGTTACAGGCCCTCCTGTAGCTTCTATTATCCGAGTAGTAGTACTAGTAGTATTGCTATTGCCGACTCTCTTGGTGCTTTCACTGCTCAAGTACCAGCACTACTACTACGAATGCTGCTAGTACTACTCCTGCCTCTAAAGCAGCAGTACTTATTACTCATAAGCTCGGGACTAATAGTAGCACTGCTGCAGCAGCTAACAAGTAGTACGATTCTAGTACTATCGCTATCACTCCTCCTGACTTCTTTAGCAGGTCTTCTTGTGTGGAGCAGTAGTAGTAGCAGTCGTGGAAGTAGCCAAAGCACTGCTGCAACAGCGGCTCAAAACAAGTAGTACTACTAGTAGTACTATTGCTATTAGTCCTCCTGACTCCAAAGCAGCAGTCGTCGTTCTCTATGAGCCTAGGAGTAGTAGTAGCACTGCTGCAATAGCTAACAAGTAGTACTGTTCTGGTACTATCGCTACTACTTCTCAGCTGCGGCGGTCCTTACTGTACATGAGAGTAGTAGTAGCAGTGGAGTAATAGTAGTAGCAGCAGAAGTAGTAGTAGTAGTACTATTGCTATAACTCCTTCTGACTCCTGCAGCAGTCCTTACTGTTTATGAGAGTAGTAGTAGTAGCAGTAGCTGTATTTGTTGGAGTGGTAGTAGTAGCAGTATTGCAGAACTCCTCCTGACTCCTGCAGGAGTCCCTAGTGTTTATGAGAGTAGTAGTAGCAGTAGCAGTAGAAGTATTTGTTGGAGTAGTAGTAGTAGTAGTAGTAATAGTACAATTGCCATAGCTCCTCCTGACTCCTGCAGCAGTCCTTACTGTTTATGAAAGTTGTAGTAGTAGCAGGAGTAGTATTTATTGCAGCAGTAGTAGTAGTTCTATTGGTATAACTCCTCGTTACTCCTGCAGCAGTCCTTACTGTTTATGGAAGTTGTAGTAGTAGTGGTAGCAGTAGTAGTATTTATTGCAGCAGTAGTAGTAGTTCTATTGGTATAACTCCTCGTTACTCCTGCAGCAGTCCTTACTGTTTATGGAAGTTGTAGTAGTAGTGGTAGCAGTAGTAGTATTTATTGCAGCAGTAGTAGTAGTACTATTGCTATAATCCTCCTGACTCCTGCAGCAGCCCTTACTGTTTATGAAAGTAGTGGTAGTAGTAGTAGCAGTAGTAGTACATGGTGCAGCAGTAGTAGTAGTACTATTGCTATAAGTCCTCCCGACTCCTGCAGCAGTGGTTACTGTTAATGAAAGTTGAAGTAGTAGTAGTAGTAGTAGTAGCAGTAGTAGTATGCGTTCCAGCAGTAGTAGCAGTACTATTGCGATAACTCCTCCCGACTCCTGCAGCAGTGGTTACTGTTAATGAAAGTTGAAGTAGTAGTAGTAGTAGTAGCAGTAGTAGTATGCGTTCCAGCAGTAGTAGCAGTACTATTGCGATAACTCCTCCTGACTCCTGCAGCAGCCCTTATTGTTTTCGAGAGTAGTAGTAGTAATGGTAGTAGTACTAGTAGTAGTAGTAAAAGCGCTTCCGCAGCAGCAGCAGCTAGAAACAAGTAGGACTACTCGGAGCGCTATTGCTATTACTTTTCCTGAAACTCCAAAGCAGCAGTCCTTAGCTATAAGCGGCGTAGTAGTGGTAGTGGCACGATGCTGCAGCAGCATAAGCGTAGTAGTAGTAGTAGTACCACAACGCTGCAGCAACCTACACCTAGTATGACTAGTACTATTGCTATTACTGACTCCTGCAGCAGTAGTAGTCGCACTGCTGCAGGAGCTAAAAACAAGTAGGACTACTACTATATATGTATATATATATTTATGTGCACATATGTGTAGTCATATATGTATCTATGTACATGTACATATGTCACAAAAAATATTAGAAGATGCATGAAGCAAGAATTTCTTGTGACATCTTTACATGGACATAAGTATATGCACATATATACGGCTGTACATATATACATACGTATGTGTGTGAAGCAGATTACTGCTACTACTCCTCCTGACTCCTGCCTGCAGCAGTCCTTAGCCATAAGCGTAGTAGTTGTAGTAGACGTCTTCATGTATACGTAGATATATACATATATATACTGCTGCACATATATATACTGCTGTACATATATATACTGCTGTACGTATACATATATATATATATATATATATGTGTATGGAGCAGATTACTGCTATAACTCCTCCTGACTTTTGCCTGCAGCAGCAGCAGCGCCGGCAGCAGCAGTCGCGACCGCAGCAGCAGTTGCGAGGGCAGCAGCAGTAGCAGTGGGGGCAGCAGTCGCAGCAGCAGCAGCAGCAGTGGCAGCAGCAGCAGCAGTCGCAGCAGCAGCAGTCGCAGCAGCAGCGGTGCCAGCAGCAGCAGCAGTAGCAGCAGCAGCAGGAGCAGCAGCAGCAGTAGGAGCACCAGCAGCAGTAGCAGCAACAGCAGGAGCAGCAGCAGCAGGAGCAGCAGCTGCAGGAGCAGCAGTAAGCAGTAGGAGCAGCAGCAGCAGTAGCTGCATCGGTAGCAGTAGCAGTACCAGCAGCAGTAGCCGAACTGGAAGGAGTACTTCTGGCAGCTGTACGGGCAACAGGAGCAGCACTGGCAGCAATAGCAGCAGCAGTAGCAGCATCGCCAGCAACAGCAGGGCGTGCGCACACAGCAGCGACCATCTCTGTTCTCCCTCCTTCCGCCCGCCTCCGTCCATGCGGCCGCTGCTACTTGCTGTGCCAACGTGTGCTGTGGGGGTTACCAAGTACGATCATGCTCTACGTACTGCTGCGTTTGTGGCATTATTGGAGCGGTCTGTCGCTGCTACGGCTGCTGTTGCTGCTGGTGTCGCTGCTCCCTACACGTCGCCGGTGCTACTTACTGCCAGCGTGTGCTGCGGGCGTTTTCAACTACAATCAAGATCTACTTACTGCTGCGCTTGTGGCACTATTGGAGCGGCCTACCGCTGCTACTGCTGCTGTTGCTCCTGCTGTTGTGGCTGCTGCTGCTGTTGCTGTTGCTGCTGCTGCTGCTGTTGCTGCTGCTGCTGCTGTTGTTGCTGCTGTTGCTGCTGCTGTTGCTGCTGTTGTTGCTGCTGCGCTCCTGCTGTTGCTGCTGCGGCCATCGTTGCTGCTGTTGCTGCTGCTGCTGCTCTTGTTACTGCTGCTGCTGCTGTTGCTGCTGGTGCTGCTGCTGCTGCTGCTGCTGCCACACGCTTTAGTACTGCGGAGCTGCGCTGCGGCTAGTTACTCTCTCGAGCCTCGCGCTGCTGCTGCCGCTGCTGGCGGTACTATCAGAAGGAACGCCACCTGCTCGTCCTCCTACTCCTTCTATACCTGCTTAGCTCGCGACGGATAGCGGCAGCAGCACCAGTAGCGACCATAGCGGCACCAGCAGTAGTAGAAGCAGCAGCAGCACTGGCGGTAGCAGCAGTCGTAGCAGCACCAGCGGTAGCAGCAGCAGCAGCGCTAGTAGTAGCGGCAGCAGTAGCGGTGGCAGCAGCAGCAGCCAGGAGAAAGGAAGCGGCGGTCAAGAGGAGGCTATAGAGAGGCGTTGTGAGCAGCTGCTGCTGGTGCGGTGACCTGCTGCTGCTGCTGCAGGAGGCGGCTGGCTGGTCAGCTGCTGCTGCTTCAAATGAGAAGGGGAGTCCTCAAACGAGGCAAGCTGGCTGCTGCTGCTGCTCTTGTTGCTACTGCTGCTGCTGCTGCTCCTATTGCTGCTGCTGCTGCTGCTGCTGCCGCTAATGTTGCTATCGATTCATTTGCTACTCTTCTATGCTGCCGCTGTTGTTGCAGTTGGTGCTGCTGTTGCTGCTGCTGTTGCTGCTGCTTCTGCTGCTGCACTGGAGTCTCCCCTACCGCACGGACCGACCAGCTCACCACACCTGCTATCGACTTGACTCATGACACCACCACCTTTTTCCTTCTTTTCTTCTTGTTCTTCTTCTTCCAACAATAATAAAAGTTTGGCACTTCTTCTGTATTTCTTCAGTTTGTAGTACATATTTCCTATATGCTCTGCTTGCATTAATGTAAACCTTCTATTCTCCTCATATAATCATTCTCCACTACAAGTATTGCTCTTCTCTTACATCATCTTCCAGTAGCCATTGACTTCTCTCTATCTCCCTTTGACATCTTTCCCTTCTTCTCCCACTAGTAATATCCATCCACTTCTGATACATCTCCTTCTTCTTCTCTTCGTAGTTCCTTTGTCATGGGTGTTCCTCTTTTTCTTCTTTTTTTCTTCTTTTCCTTCTTCCACTATAATACTCATGCTCTTCTTACTTTTCTTCTTCATTTCGTAGTGTATCTCTCATATGTGTTTTTCGCGTAGTTGCGATGCTCTTTTTCTGCTCTAAACTTTCCTCTCCATTCTTCTACACTACTCGTCTCTAAGCAGTACACCTTCTTCGTATATTCTTCCCGTGGTGGTGGACTCCTTTTTCTTTTTCGTCTGACACCTTCTCCGTCTCCTTTTCGGCATTTGTTCTTCTCTTCGGAGTTCATTTCTCATGTGTGTTCCTCTTTTTCTTCTTTTCTTCTTCTTCTTCTCCTCCTCCTTCACTAGTAATACTCATGCTTTCCGTACATATCGTCTTCTTCTTCTTCTTCATCTCGTAGTATATTTCTTATATGTGTTGTCTTCTTCTTTTCGTAGTATACTTTTTCTATGTGTTGTTCCCGTAGTAGGCATGTTTTTTTCTCCTACAGACTCTCCTTTGCATTTTCGCACATATTCGTCTCTAAGCAGTACAGCTCCACCATATGTTCTTACCGTAGTAGTTGACTCTATTTCTTTTCCTTATGACACCTTCTCCTTTTTCTTTTGATAGCGTCATTCATGCATTTCTTGTACATCTTCTTCTTCTCTTCGTAGTTCACTTCTCATATGTGCTCCCCTCCTTCTTCTTTTCTTCTTCTTCCTACACTAATAATAGTCGTGCTCTTCTTACATATCTTCTTTTTCTTTTCTTATATGTGCTGTTCCCGTAGTAGCGATGTTTTTTTTCTTCTTTAGACTCTCCTCTCAATTCTTGTACATTAATCCTCTCTAAGCCATACACCACCTTCGTGTATTGTACTCCTAGAAGTTGACTTCTATCTATATTTCTTTCTTCTTCGTAGTACACTCTTCCTTATATCTGCTCTTCTTATAGTAGTGAAGCATCTCCTCTGTGAACTTCTCTCTCTAAACTTCTTCTTCTTTTCTTGTTCTTCTTCTTCTCGTAGTCATACGCCTCCCTCATATATTCTACAACTAGAAGCTGACTTCTATCGATATTCTTATTACATTTTCTTCTTTTTCTCTCGATAACGAATCTTGTGCACTTCTCACTATATGTATATATACATGGTTTTCTTCGTAGCACATTATTCCGCATATCTCTACTTCTCGTAGTAGTGATGCATTTCTCCTACAGCTTTGTTTCTATAAATGTTCTTCTTCTCCTAGTTTCACACCTCCTTCATATATTCTTCTCGTAGTCGTGGACTTTCATCTCTCTTCTTATTACATGTTCTTCTTTTTATCTAAATACCAAAGCTTCTGCACTTCTGGTATATATGCAGCACACCTCCTTCGTATATTTTTCTCGTAGTTGTAGACTTCTATCTATTTTCTGTCTTTTTTTCTCAATACCAGACTTTCTGCACTTCTCATATACATGCAGCACACCTCCTTGGTATATCCTCCTCGTAGTCTCAAATTTCTCTACATCCTTTAATTATATTTTCTTCTTTTTCTCTCAGTAACAGATCTTGTGCACTTCTCATATATATGCAGCACACGTCCTTCGTCTATTCTTTCCGTAGTTGTAGACTTCTATATGTTTTTTTATCACATGTTCTTCTTTTTCTCTCACTACCAAACCTTATGCATTTCTCGTATATATGCAGCACGCGTCCTTCGTATATTCTTCATATATTTCTATTAGTAATAGACTTCCCTCATATATTCTTTTCCTATTAGTACACTTCTTATATATATATATATGTATATATATATATATATGTGTATATATGTGTATATTCCTTTCAAGTGATCTACTCCTCTTATACGCTTTCCTTCGCGCTTCTTCTTCATATGCTTCTTTCAGTGATACACTTTTCCCATATATTCCTTTCCTACTAGTACACCTCCTATATATACGTATATGTATATATATTCTTCTCTCAGTGGTACATTTATATACGCTCCCTCTGCGCTTCTTCTTTATATTCATCTCTTAGCGATGGACTTCCATTAGCCGTCTTTTTCGATGAGGTAGGACACGTTCCTAGTGTACTAAATTCCTATTTATATTACGTAGTAGACGTTTATCTGAACAGAAGCTGGGCGGTATATGAAAGACATATATATACATATAGCTAAACAGAAGCTTCGCGGTATCTGTAATATACATATAGATATATATATATATATGTATATATTCACATATATACATATATATGTACATATTCATATATATACATATATATGTGTATATGTATATGCGAGCATATATACACACATATATTCCTACTATTTTTCACACGTTTTCCTCCACACTTCTTTTTGTGTACTTCTTTTAGTGATAGACTTCCTTCAGCCGTCTGTTTGGATGGTGTAGGAGAAGGCGTACGTAGTGTATTAGACTTGTTTTTATATTACGTAGTAGACGTTTATTTAAACAGAAGCTGGGTGGTATATGAAAGACATATATATACTTATATCTAAACAGAAGCTTGGCGGTACATGCAATATATATATATATATATATATATATATATGCGAGCATATATACACACATATATTCATGCTGTTTTTTCACACTTTTCCCTCTGCACTTCTTTTTTATGTTTTCCCCTTGCTAATACAGTTCTCTTATAGTCATATATATATATATATATGTATATTTATGTACATCTATACATACATATATATCTATATATATATATATGCATACGGTTTCGTTACACGTATCCCTCTACACGTTTTTTTTAGATTCGTCTCTTGCTAGTGCGGCTCTTTTATATATTAGTTTCGTACCAACACCCGTTATCTATACATCTTCCTCTATACTTCTTCTCTGCCTTCTTCCCTTTTTAGTGGTCAATCTCTTATTATTTGTTGGTCTCTTAGCCGTGCGGCTCTTTCTTATGAATCCTCTGCAGTACTACGCCTGCACAGTTTCACCTTTTTATTACTACTGCTATTATTATTATTATTGTTATTATTATTATTATTATTATTATCACGCCTGCCCTTCTTGAGCGCCTCCCTTTCATTGTTATGCTTATCCGCAGTACTTGACTGCTAATATTGTTACTAGTATTGTTATTACCAGTACGTGACTGTTAGTATTTTTAATACCACTACTACTACCACCAGCACTTGGCTGTTAATATCAGTATTACTATTATTGCCACCACTACTTGATTGTTACTATGATTATTATTCTTGTCACCAGTGCTTGATTGTGCATATTAGTATTATTATTATTGTCACAAGTACTTGACTGCTAATAGTATTATCATTATTATTACCACCAGCACTTGATTGTCAATTATTACCATTACCATTATCAGTACTTGACTGTTAACATAATCATTTGCGGTATTAATCAGTACTTGCCCATCAATATCATTATTATTATTATCACAAGTACTCAACTGCCCATACTATTATTATTGTCACCAGCACTTGATTGTTTATATTACTATTATAATTACTCTTAATTATCACCAGTAGTTGACTGTTAATACTATTATTAATAATACCATCGCCAGTACTTGACGGTTAATATTATTATTGATATAACTCTTATTATTATCAGCAGTACTTGGCCTTTTCTATTATTATCACTATCACTACTACTTGGCTGTTAATATTAAATTATTATTAGTGCGCCTGCCTTTCTTGAGTATCCGTTTCTTTCATTATCTCTAGTATAATCCATTCGTGACTTCTACTACTATTATTAGTATGATTATCACCAATACATCATCGTTAATATTATTATCATTACTACTAGTGTTATTATCGCCAGTACTTGACTGTTAGTATCATTATTACTATTATTACTATTATCACCAGTATTTGACTGTTTATACCATTATCACTATTATTATTATTATCACCAGTACTTGACTGTTAATATCATTATCATGGTGATTGTTATCATCACTAGTACTTGACTGTTATCACTACTATTATCATCACCAGTTTTTGACTGTTACTATTATCATTACTACCATTATCACCAGTGCTTGACTGTTAGTATTATTACTATTCTTAGTGTTATTATCACCAGTACCTGACTGTTATTATTATTATTTTCATCACCATAATCACCAGTGTTTAACTACTGAAATCAGTACTTGTCTCTTAGTATTATTATTATTAATGTTATTATCATCAATACTTGACGGTTAATATTTTTAATATTCTTTCCACTATTCGGCTGTTAATACTATTATTGTTATCATGCTGTTGGTACTTGACTGTTGACATTGTCATTATTACTGATATTATTATTATTATCACCATTAATTGACTGCTAATAATATTATTATTATCACCATTACTTGACTGCCAATATTTTTATTATTATCACCGTTACTTGACTGTTGATATTATTATTATTATTATCACCGTCACTTGATTGTTATTATTATTATTATCACCAGTATCTGACAGTTGACATTATTATTATTATTATCGCCCGTATTTGACTGTTAATATTATTTTTGTTATTATCGCCAGTAGTTGACAGTTGATATTATCATTAGTACTATTGTCACCAGTCTTTGACTGTTAATATTTTTCTAATATATCACCAGTACTTGACTGTTAATATTATTATTATCACTGTTGGTATTATCATTGCTATTATCACCAGTACGTACCTATTAATATTCCTAGTCTTATTACTTTCATTATTACTGTTAGTATTATCAGTCTTACTATAATTATTATTACCATTACTACTATTATTATTATTATTGCTGTTATTACTATTACGTCTGCCTTTTCTTGAGTCAAGCAGCTGCCGCAGTTCGTGCGTGTGGCGGCCAGTCCGCATATCTTACTGACTGCTGCTACTCCGGCCACAACGACTACAACGACCACAGCTGCTACTACCACTGTTACTTCTCCTAGTAGTGCAGCTGCTACTACTACTACTACTACTAATACTACAGCTGCTACTACTGCTGCTACTACTCGTAGTAGTGCAGCTGCTACTACGGGTGTACCACTACAGCTGCTACTACTACTGCCAGGACTCGTAGCAGTGCAGATACTACTATTACTACTACTGCTACGACCGCTATAACTGCTGCAGCTGCTACTACTACTACTACTCGTAGTAGTGCGGCTGCTACTACTACTACTACTAATACTGCAGCTGCTACTACTACTGCTACTACTCGTAGTAGTGCAGCTGCTACTACGGGTGTACCACTACAGCTGCTACTACTACTGCCAGGACTCGTAGCAGTGCAGATACTACTATTACTACTACTGCTTCGACCGCTATAACTGCTGCAGCTGCTACTACTACTACTACTACTACTCGTAGTAGTGCGGCTGCTACTACTACTATTCCTACTCGTAGTAGTGCAGCTCCCACTACTACTAATCCTACGGCTGCTACTGCTACTGCTACTACTCGTAGTAGTGCAGAGATTACTACTACTGCAAACACTATAACTACTGCAGCTGCCACTACTACTACTACTATTACTCGCAGTAGTGCAGCTACTACTACTACTGCTGCTGCGACTACTACTACAACTGCTACTGCTGCTACTACTGCTTGTAGCAGTAGAGCTGCTATGACTACTACTACTACTACTACCAGTACTACTACGATTGTTGCTACTACTAGTGCTACATCAACTACTACTGCTACTACTACTAATACCCGTTGTGCTAGTAGTAGTGGTGCTAGTAGTGGAAGGAGAAGTCTCTTCGCCTTTGATTATGAATCACTCACAACAAAGAAGCCGACACCATGCAGTATGCGTTGCCTATAGGTAAGGATAAGAATCTCTATTATGTCTATATACGGCCTTTCTTCTTCTTTTTCTTCCTCGCTTTCTCCTTCTTCTTCGTTTTCTTCTTTTTCTTCTTCTTCTTCTTCTTCTTCCTTTTCTTCTCCTTTTTGTTTCTATGCCTTGCCTGTAGGTTAGAATAAGAACCTCTATCATGTCTATATACGGCCTTTCGTCTTCTTCTTCTTTTTCATCCTCTTCTTCTTCTTTTTCCTTTTCTTCTTCGTTTTATTTTCCTCCTTCCTTTTCTTTCTTGTTTTTCTTTTTCTTCTTCTTTTTGTTTCTATGCATTGCCTATAGGGAAGAGTAAGAGTCTCTATTAAGTCTATACACGTCCTTTCTTCTCCTTCTTCTTTTCTTCTTCCTACTTTTTTTGTCCTTGCTTTTCGTTTTGTTCTTCTTTTTTTCTTCTTTTTTGCTACTGCTGCTGCTGCTGGGAAGGCTTTGCTGTTTGTGGGGTGCCGCGTGTATCTACTCTCAGCAGCTGCACCTTCTTCTTCTGCAGATGCTGCTGCTTTCATGATTGTTGCTGTGGCGTTGAAATGATGCTGGTGCTGCTGCCGCTGCTAAGCCTTCTCTTCCTTTCCTTCATACAGTCTGTGGCTGCTACTGTTGGTGCTGTTCTTTGAGGTGTAGCTGCCGCTGCTGCTTCTGTTGCTGCTGCTCTTTGTTCTCCTTCTGCTCTCTGTGCCACGTATACATCTACACATATGTTATGTATCTGTTCATATCTACATACAAACGCATGTATATGTATATATATATTCATCTACACGTATACATATATATGAGTATATATATATATATATATATATATATATATATATGTACACGTATACATATGTATGAGTATATATATATATATATATATATATATATATATATGTATAGATGTATGCTCGCACGCCTGAGGGTGGTGGTTGTCGTGCTGCTACTACTGGTCCTATTCTTTCTGCTATGACCGCTGCTGTTGCTAGTGCTTCGTCTTCTTCTTCTTTATCTTCTTCGTTCGCTATGTGTGCCACTTATATACGTACACACCTACATACATCCATACATACATCCATATATATATATATATATGTATATATATATATATATACGTATATAGATATATGGCTATATGTTTTATATACGTACATGTGTATGTGTACCCGCATTCCCCGAAGGCGGCGGTGCTGGGGGCGGTTCTGCTGCTGCGGGTGGTGCCGATCGTTCTTCTGTGGTCGTTGCCGCTGCCAATGCTTTTCTTTTTTCTGTTTGTTTTTCTTCGTTTTCTTCTTCTTCTTCTTTGTTTCTTCTTCTTCTTCTTCTCTTTGTGCCCCTTATACATATATATATATACATATGCTTATACACACCCACATGTGCCCCTGAGGCCGGTTGTGGTGCTTGTGCTGCTGCTGCTGCTCCTGCTGCTGTTGTCATTTTACCTCCTGAGAAACACGCTGCTGCTGTTCTTTCTTCTTCTTCTTCTTCTTCTTCTTCTTCTTCTGCTAATGCTGTTATTGCTTGTATACATGTGTTTGTCGATGCAGATAGGCCCCCACGCTCGGGGGAGAGCACCATTTCGCTTCTTCTTTTTCGTTTTCTCCTTCTTCTTCTTCTTCTTCTTTGTTTCTTCCTTTGCTCTGGCTGCCCGTTATATATATATATATATGTAAACCGACCTGCGCCTTTGAAGCTGGTGGTTGTAGTGGTTGTGTAGCTGCTGCTGCTGCTGCTGCCGTTGTTATTGTTTCTCCTGGTGACCGTACTGCTGCTGTTCTTCTCCTTCTGCTGCTGCTTCTATTCTCGCTTGTATAAATACGGTCGTGCTGCTGTTGGTATTATTTCTGCATATCGCTCTTGCCCTTCTGCTGCTGCTATTGCTGCTGCTGTTGCTGCTGCTGTTGCTGCTGCTGTTGCTGCTGCTGTTGCTGCTGCTGTTGCTGCTGCTGTTGCTGCTTCTGTTGCTGCTGCTTGTTGCTGCTGCTGTTGCTGCTGCTGTTGCTGCTTCTGTTGCTGCTGCTGTTGCTGCTGCTGTTGCTGCTGCTGTTGCTGCTGCTGTTGCTGCTGCTGTTGCTGCTGCTGTTGCTGCTGCTGTTGCTGCTGCTGTTGCTGCTGCTGTTGCTGCTGCTGTTGCTGCTGCTGTTGCTGCTGCGGTTGCTGCTGCGGTTGCTGCTGCGGTTGCTGCTGCTGTTGCTGCTGTTACTGCTGTTACTGCTTGCTTGTATATATGGCTGCTGCTGTCGTTTGGATGTATTTGCTTGTGGGTGCAGATAGACCCCCACGTTATCTATTCTGCTGCTGCTGCTGCTGCTATTGTTTGTATGCATCTGTTTGTGCTGCTGTCCTTATTATGTCTCGTGATTAACACGTTGCTGCTATTCTTCTTCCTCTTCTTCTTGCGCTGCTGCTGCTCTTTTGTTCCTATATCTGGCTGCTGTTGCCGATCGTATATCTGGTTGCTGCTATTGTTTGTACATGCGGCTGCTGCTGTCGTTTGTACATATGGCTGCTGCTACGGCTGCTATTACTGGTCGTATATATGGTTGCTGCTGTTGTTTGTACATACGGCTGCTGCTATCGTTTGCACATATGGCTGCTGCTACGGCTGCTATTACTGGGCGTATATGTGGCTGCTGCTATTGTTTGTATATATGGCTGCTGCTACTGGTCGTATACGTGGATGCTACTATTGGTCCTATATATGGCTGCTGCTATTGCTTGTACATACGGCTCCTGCCATCGTTTGCATATATGGCTCCTGCTGTTGTTTGTATATATGGCTGCTGCTATCGTTTGTATATATGGCTGCTGCTACCGGTCGTATACATGGCTGCTGCTATTGTTTTTGTATGTGGCTGCTGCTACAGGTCGTATATATGGCTGCTACTGTTTGTATATATGGCTGCTGCTACGGTATATACTGCCCGTATATATGGCTGCTGCTACTGGTCGAATACATGGCTGCTGCTATTGCTTGTATATATGGCTGCTGCTGTCGTATGTATAGGTTGCTGCTGCTATTGTTTGTGTGTATGGCTGCTGCTATTGTTTGTGTCTATGGCTGCTGCTATTGTTTGTACATATGGCTGCTGCTACCAGTCGTACACGTGGCTGCTGCTATAGTTTGTATATATGGCTGCTACTATTGCTTGTCTGTATGGCTGCTGCTATTGTTCACGTATAAGGCTCCTGCTATTGTCTGTATATATGGCTTCTGTCATCGTTTGTATACATGGCTGCTGCTACTGTTTATGTGTATGGCTGCTAGTATTGTTTGTATATATGGCTGCTGCTACTAGTCGTTCATATGGCTGCTGCTATTGTTTGTATACATGACTGCTGCTATTGTCTGTATATATGGCTGCTGCTACCATACAAACTGGTCGTATATATGGCTGCTGCTACTGGTCATATAGATGGCTGCTGCTGTTGTTTGTATATGTGGTTGCTGCTATTGTTTGTGTAGGTGGCGGATGCTATTGTTTGTATATGTACGGCTCCTGCTATCGTTTGTATACACGGAT